TTAGTTACTATGCACAAACTGTTTTGTTACTTGAATATTTGAACGCATTGAAGAAAAGGAAAAGCGGTGTAGGTTATAACGTGTGTTTTTAGTTGCAGAGCTCCTCTATTAAAACAAAGATAGAAAAAAAATGTTCCGAAAGAGATCAAGCCTCAGCTAGGTAATAAAAAGTTACGCAGAAGTAACTCAAAAGTAACATTACACAATACTTACCATAAAAAGTAATTCAACTAGACACTTTTTGGGGGGAGTAACTAAATATTGTAATGCATTACTTTCAAAGCTAACTTACCCCAACACTGCTTATAACTGTGTGACATCTACAAATCACCTCTTTTGATACATTGTGACTAAAACTGATTACTGCTGTCCCAGTGGGTGAAAAGAAAACCAATACAGAAAAGAATCAATGGTTTCCGAGGGATCTCAAATGCCCTTTAAGTTAAGAAAACACATGCCAATAGAAAATCACTATCAAATTGAGAAAACATCTTCATCAGTTTGACAACACACACACAGATTCTCACAACACATGTAGAGGTTCCCTAAAGATGACGAGTCCAACTTCCCAATTTGCTGTTTAAAGTTAGCTGGAGATCTGGGTGGTGAGTTTTTTTTGTTGTTGTTTATTTAAATGTCCTCATCATATGCGTTCTTGTTGTTTAGTTCTTTTTAGATCTGTGAGTTACTCTTGCTAAAATGGCATCAAAATAACATTTTGTTTCATGTCAAATGTGAAATTTGCCAAATTATTAGGAGTAAAAATTAACAAACAAGCAACCGTACAATCTGTATTTTAAAATGAGCTAACATTCATTCATTTTCTTCGGCTTAGTACCTTTATTCATCAAGGGTGGCCACAGTGGAATGAACCACCAATTTATCCAGCATATATATTACACAGCGGATGCCCTTTCAGCTGCAACCCAGTACTAGAAAACACCCATACACACTCATTCACACACTTACACTACGGCCAATTTATTTTACTCAATTCACCTATAGCGCATGACTAAAACGTTTTGGGGAAATTTGATATCTTGGCTGTTCTGTTGTTAAACTTGTTTACTTATTTAAATAAGTTAAATTAACTAAAAGCCTTATGTTGTCTTGACTTATTGATCCTATCATTTGAACAGTGATGCCGCTTGACTTGCTGAGTCTACATGATCTGTAATATTCGTGCACATCTGTTCAGCTTGTTTCTCTTGGCTCAGTTGATTAATAGCGTGTGCTGGTATTATAGGAGGACGAATGCTGTGTGGTGTGTGGGAGGACAGTGCACTTTACGCTCTTCATAAATATCTGGATCCCTACAGGCTGCAGAATTGAATTCCTGCGGAGTCTGTAAATTGTATGTCCAAGTTTATAAGTGTGTGCGTTTATAAGCCGGTGGACGTCAGAGCGTCTTTATTTGCTCTCAAGACGCAGCATTAAATCTGATGTCAACATGTGTCAGCTTGGATTTCAGAGCCATGTAGATGCTAAATGCAACTTTCATAACAAAGATGTGTGTCGTTTTATTGTTGCATGGTTACTGTGAGTAAATTATTTTCAGTGTTTTCGATGTTCACTTTTTAAAATTTAGATGGATGGATGGATGGATGGACGGACGGACGGACAGATAGATATTTGGATGGATGGATGGATGAATGGATGGATGGATGCAAAGTGAATGAAAATTGCTGAATCAATGCATTTCACCACAGCTCAACACTGTTGTTTGTCATGAGTATTGCCAGAAGGAATCTGTGGACGTCTTTTGCTATTTCTGCTAAAAATTTTGGTAAAAGTCTGCGGATTTCTGCGGAATTATTTTGGGAGTATCATAACTAATACAATTATATGTGAACTAAAAAAATAACATCTTTTTAACTTTTATTTAATGTTTAAAATGCAAATCCAACAAGATTCACTTTATATGGTTAAAAAAGCAAGTTTGTCATATATTATATCTAGTAAAATATAGAAAATATTACTGTACAAACTGCATTGTACATAAATCTGATGAACATTTTTAATTTGGTCAATAATATTACTAAACTTAATTTAAAAAAACTGAATAAATATAGATTTACACACATTTACTCAAGTAAATAAACAGAATTATTGTTGGGAAAAAATCTGCGGAATTCTGTGCGCGCAGATTTCGGTGGGCCTAGTCATGAGCTTGGTTCACCATATAAAGGTTATTATAGGTAACGAAAATGAACGAAAAACAAAAACTAGATTAGAAATTTTTTTTCGTTAACTGAAATAAAAATAAAAACAAGAGTTTAAAAAAAACTAGACTGTTTTGTGTACTGTTTTGTGTAACTGAAGCTAACTGAAATTATAGCAAAAACATCCTTCATTTTTGTCTTTGTAAATGTATTTAATACATAATATTACTGTATGGCTTTTAGAAGTAAATCTATAGAACTTTTTCGGCAGCTGATGCGTATAAACAGTCACATTCTGACGGCTTTGAACTATAGTTTTAATCTATTTTATTCACGCTTAACGTTGTGGAACTAATACTGCGGACGATCAGCGCAACAAGCTGGACTGATCATTTAAGAAATGTGATCTAATAGGATGGAAAACAACTGCTGTGAAGCATTTTCCCCTCGTTGTCAGACGGCATCTTCTGCTGTTTAAATAAAGCCTCGTCATGGCTAAAGTCAACATTTTCTCTTTCTTTCAAATATATAACCAACCAAACCAAAACAATTCACCAAAACGTTTGACACACACGTAGCCTGTACTGTCCCCCTTACATAAATGGCTCCCGATTAGAATCAACATGCAAGTCAGCCAGTATCAAGTATCAATAACAGACTTTTATTGGTCATTTTTGTAAATTGCATGACTTGCACACCTGCTAAGCTTCATACCAGTAATCTGGTTTGCTCTATAATGCAGTGAAGTATTGCATGTGTGTGTTTGTGTGTGCGTGCGCACGCATTGAAGAGCCGCTGAGCATACACACTGTATTTCGGACGGCAGACACGTGAACCAAAAGAATGTTTTTTTCTCTCACGCTTGAACCACATCTAACAGATTATAATGGCTTTAACACACACCTTTCAATGTTGTGTGTCACAAAAACACTCTGTGATCCATTCAAAACGCTATTGAAGCCAATTTTCAGAGTGCAAATTGCCAGCTGTAAATGCTGTAAACGAAAGTTCTAAACATTCTACTGAAAGACACCAGTCGCTATGGTGCCCATCACGCAGCTGCCTAGAAAAAGCTCTGCAATAACACTTCCAAAATGCTAGCTGACAGTAGGTTTCTATGTTCCAGTGTCGAGTTTCTCCGCTGGTGTTTCGTTTTTTCTGAACGCTACCTAAATTTAATAGTAGCTGAAACCCGCTCATTTTGAAGTGGGAACCGCTGGGCATGCAACAACTTTAATAATAAGGTCAACACAAAGCAAAACTTTGAATCTGGACCTCCTTTAGGGACTCGACGATTGTAAACACTCGCTCCAACGGGTTCCTGCCGCTCTCGGTCCCACCCACACTCATCAGCGATCCCAACCTGACCAATCACAGACATTGCGCTACGTGTCATCTCCACGTGTAGTTATTTTTGAGAAGTGCGCATTGGCGACGACGAGGGCTATGCGGCCACACGCAGGCTGCGCCATAACATACGCAAACTATAAATCAGCCTTAAGGCACCTCAGAGTCTGTAATCCTGCTGCCATAGGCCAGATCAAGCCGGCTCTCCTCCAGTCATCCTCGCTGTTAAGCACGTATTCACAAACAACTTACTTTTTACATCTCTGATACCCCCTTTGACTGTAAATAAACCAATATATACTGAGTAATTAAGTTATTTGAACAGTACAAAGAGATCAGATTTAAGAAGCGGTGAACCGATAATCCTGCGCATGCGTGATTCAGTGAACCGAACACCAACAGTACATGACAGCCTGCTGTGACTGAACTAAACTTGAACAACTGCAGAGCAGGTAAACCAAGGGCTTAAATGAGAGGATCTGGCGAAACGTAAGTTTATTTCATAACAGAAAGTCGTAATGGAATTTAAATAAGTGAATCATGCTTCAGTTGGGTTGCAACACTTAATTGTAAGAAACTTTTCAGATCATGACTACATATTTTTCGATATGCCGAGACCAAACTTCCCAAATATGGGAAGACTGTGACAAAAGAACTTCCCATCAATACTGTATCTAACCCCAGAAGCAGCCTTGCATACATATTTTACTTGAGGCTGCTATCTTGTGGGCTCTTGTATTTGAATTTGAGCATGAGTAAATGGTAGAGTTCTTGTCTCAAAAAATGTAGCCCTTCTTTGGTTGAGCTTTTATTATACAATATTTATTCTGATGATTTTGAATCTTGCTCCTAACAAATATCCTTATTTAGAAAAAAACAAGCAAAAAACTCAAACTAATACTGAAACTAATAAATCTAAACTAAAACTAAACAATTTCAAAATATAGAAACTAATAAAAACGAGTAAATCTGCCTCTAAGAACTTATTAAAACTAACTGAATTTGAAAACAAAAGTCGAAACGAAATAAAAACTAAAACTAATAAAAAATCTAAAACTATTACAACCTTGCGTCATATGACTTTTTCAACACCACATGCTTATGGTTGTGGCTTTGTCTGTGTAACAAAATATAGGATGTGTAGATGTTCCTATTTCAAAACACTGGCGTATAATGCTATAAAATAACAAAATACGGTGGTTTAATGTAAAATTTAAAAAACTAATTTCGCAGTTTCTGCCATATCTTAAGGCCATACTGTTTTTATTTATTAATTTTTTCCTTTTAACACTGTAGTCCTAAATGTTTGATGAGTGATTGTCTTGTGAGGGGTCCACCATCTTGTATTCGTGATGGAGCCCAACATCTGGTGCTACGCTCCTGTTTTTGCAATGCTATCACATAGTACAATATTTTTCTAGTAACTATGACTTTTTTGGCTGATTTGTTCATAACTCATTGTATTTTTCTACATATCTCTGTGTTCCTCAGACGGTGCGCACCATCCGCAGGCGCCGCTGTTACCCTCCGACCTGGAAGCGCTGGGTGTTTTTCCTGTTCCCAGGCACCACCATCGCCACATCAGCAGTGGCTTTATACGCATTCGTGGAGACAGAGGAGAACTACTTCTACATCCACAGCATCTGGCACATGCTGATCGCCGGCAGTGTTGGCTTCCTCCTGCCGCCCCGCGCCAAACCGGACGTCAAAGTCAGTCCCCTGAAGCGGCGGCGCGGCTGCGGGTACCAGCTCTGCGTCAACGAGCATGAGGAGATGGGACTGGTGGATCCCGCCATCATCACCATCAACAGCATCTGCACCAGCTGATGACCCTCGCGCCCGCTCAGACTTTTACCTGCCTTTCCTCTCCTTCCTTTGGGATACAAAAACACGGAAAACAAAGCCAGAGAACTTACTGATGCACTGTAAATAACTTTAGAGCAAAACATGCTCGCAGACACACACACACTCGCAAATACACTGCCGGTCGAAAGTTTGGAATTTGAATTTTTTTCATGTTTTTTTTTTTAGGAGAAGCCTATTGTGCTCACCAAGGAAGACGGTAAAATTGTAAAATTAGATTCAAATTTTAAACAACTGTTTTCTTAATGAATGTTTCTTAAGATGAAGCATATTCCTATTATTTAAAGATGTATTTAGCTACATTTTCGGTGTCACTTGATTTTTCTTTTATAAAATCATATTCATTTGCTGGTTTATTGGTCTGTTATGATCAATTGTTATTGGCTCTCAATCATTAATTGTCCTTATATAGTGTATCAAGGTTGAATATTTAGGTTGTATATTTACTGTACTACTATTTCCACTAATATTGGCTGCAGCTCAACAGTTTTCAACACTGAAAATAACAAAAAATGTGTCTTGAGGTGCAGATGTTAGAATGATTTCTGAAGAGTTATTTGACACTGTGTGACTTTAAATCACACAAATAAATGAAACTATTGAACAAGACAGCAGCTATTGTAATAATATTTAAACATGTTACAGTTTTTACTGTTTCTGTTCAAATAAATGCAACTTGGGTGAGCAGAACAGGCTTTTTGCAAAACAGGCTTCTTTGAAAGACATTTTAAAAATCATATCGATCCCACACTTTCGACCGGTTGTGTAGGTACAGTACAAGTTTTTCGTCATAACATGGTTATTTGGATTACTATTATTGTTAATATGGTTTGCATTGTTTGTATCTGGGAATGGTTTGTGTCAGTGCAGCGATGCACTGTTATTAGTGCATTATCTAAAGCATCTGAGCTGATTTTGCTGCTGCTACTTGACAGTGACTGTAAAATTGAAAAACGTGTCATGTAATTTATTCATTGTTTTTCTGGCACTCAAACGACCAAATGTTTTATTGTGTTTAGAGGATGCAAAGGAAGAACATTTTGTGGATATATCAAGGGCACTGCTTTCTTTTGATTGTTCTTTTTTTTTTTACTTTTCTTTCTAAACATCATTTGCACTGAGACACAAAAAAATGTGATACTGTACATTTTTTAAATATAAGTATAGTTATGAACCAGTCACGATGTGTACATGTACATGTATAGTATAGTTGTTTTCAGTGGAATGTCTGATTGTACTTTGGATTGCATTGTATTGCCTTTGCAGCATAATTGATTGTCGATTTTTAGAGGGATTAGGAAAGTTTCCATTGCCAAGACCAGGTTTTAATACGAAACCTCAGATAAATAACCTCATATTTCCTGTTGTATTTACCTAGTGAGGGTCAGAAGGAGACATTTTAAAGCAAAAGCAAATGAAAAAGCAAATAAACGTTTTATTTTTTCGGTATCAAACTTGATTATTTGAACAATGTGTTGTGGTTTTTCTTTTCTTACTTGAAACCATGTTGAAAACAAACCTTTTTTTTTACTTTAGTTAAAAGTTAGTTAACTTTTAGTTGCATAGCTGTTGTTTTAACATGTTTAACATATGCATCACCTCAACTTCATCCGATTAGGATGATTCTGTATCTGCATAAAACATAATAAAAAAATGACAAGCAAAGTTAAATGCAGCAGAGAAAAGATGCAAATAAGCAAGGATTTATGATTTTCTGGGGAGTCAGACAGAATTCAGAAGCAGAACTTAAATCATCACTGAATAATAATAAAAACACTGTATCATTTTAATTGAGTAAATAGTTATATAATGTACAATTAATCTTTAAGCTACAAATGTTTAATGTATTGTACTCAAATGGCTTACATTTGCTTCAAATTCTTACAGTCAGGTCTTAAAAACTCATGGAAATGATAAACTTTCACTCCAAGGTTAAAATCTGAAACGACTGCGCAAACTTAACTGTATTGTCTGGTCAACTATAATCTTAACTACATTGCAAATACAGCATAGGCTCATTGTGAAAACGTAGCTCTAAACAGATTTCTGTAAATTGTGAATTACAGTTTACACTAAAAAAAAGGAACATAACCATTTTTAAAAAATGTCTGATGGTAAGTCATACTAAACGTTTACTATTTTAGGTCCGTTAAGATTACCTAAATGATTTACATTTGCTAAATGCCTGAATAATGACAGATTTTTTGAGAATTTTTTTTTATTAATTTCTAGACAGTCAAAGGTTTACATCCATTTCCTAGGTTTTTTTTTTTTTACCTTTGCTTTTAAACTGTATTGCTTTGGTCAAATAATTTGGGTAGCCTTCCACAAGCTTCTCACAATAGTTTGAAGGAATTTTGGCCCATTCCTCTTGACAGAATTGGTGTAACTGAGTCAGATTTGTAGGCTGTCTTGCTCGCACAAGCTTTTTCAACTCTGCCCACAAATTTTCTATTGGATTGAGCTCAGGGGTTTGTGATGGCCACTCCAAAACATTCACTCTGTTGTCCTTAAAGGACATTTTACCTAATTTGGCAGTATGATTAGGATCATGGTCTGTTTGGAAAACATTTGTGGTCAATTTCCAATTTCCTTGCTGATGTCTTGAGATTTTGCTTTAGTATTTCTACATAATGTTCTTTCTTCATGATGCTATCTATGCTGTGAAGTGGACCAGTCCCTCCTGCAGCAAAACAGCCCCACGACATAATGCTGCCGACCCCATACTTCACAGTTGGGATGGTGTTCCTAGGGTTGTAAGCTTTCCCCTTTGTCCTCCAAATGTAACACTGGTCATTATGGCCAAACAGTTCAATCTTAGTTCTATCAGACCACTGGACATGTCTCCAAAAATTATTACTTTTCCCAGTGTAATTTAGCAAATTGTAATCTGGCTTTTTTTGTTGTTGATTCTGGCTTGTTGATTTTTCCATATTGTCACTAAATGAAGCAGTGTGTTTTTAATTAAATAATATTCTACAGTTGTGCCTCCAATTAAATCAAATATTGTCAATTAGCCAACCAGAAACTTCCAAAACACTGACACCATCATCTGAGCTTTTTCAGAGGCAAAATAATCTTATTATATTTAAACTTGACTTTCAAGAAAAGTTCTAACAATTTCTCAAAAATATCTCTCTCATTATTTTGCTATTAAGCATAACAGAACCAAATTTGATAATCATAACTTACCTAAAAGAGAAAAAGTTTAGTCACATTAACATCTGACTTCTTTAAAAAAAAAAGGTTATGTGCCTTTTTATACAGTGGTTGTAAACTTCTGATTTCAACTGTTTGTAGCCAGAAGTACGTGGCTGCATTTCATTTTTTAAATGAACACTACGGGAGTGGTATGGCACCGTTCCTTTTCGCGCTTGCAAGCTCACCACTTACCTTCATATGTTTGGCTTTCCCGCTGTTACCAGTTTGTCCAGTTAGACTTGAGACACAGAAAGGAGTTGACCATGACAAAAGGGTTTGAGAAAGCAGGTAAGACAAAAACAGAATCCAAAAGATAAAATAATCAAGTAAATAACAGAGTGAAAATGTGGTAAACGTGGTAAAAATCAGATGAGGGCTTTTCTTTTTCTGAATTGCTTTTTAAATTTGTCGTTTGGGTTTAGGGAAGTGTGGGGTGCTCAATCTGTGCTTTTTAAAATACTATTGGTTGGGTTTAGGGAAGGGGGAGGGTGGGTCAGTTGATTGGTCAGTCAGTCTCAGGCCTCTGGTGGATTTACAACAGAACAGCAGGCATAAATGGCACTCACAATATAAATTTGAGATCTTAAAAAGCCTAAGCATGCAACCTCTGATGGATTCATGGAAACAAAAACTGCAAAAAAAAACGTAGCTCCTGGGACCTATTTGGTGCTCTCCAGAGATGTATATAGAGAGACATTTTTAAACCTCATGCACAAAACTGGAATATCGCATAAAAGATGTGCAAATAAAGCAGTGTTTACATCCAATGAGTCAAAGCGAACAAATCGTCACTTTATGAAAAACTGGCGCCAAATATCAACAGTAAAAATAGAATTTACAGCGGTAGCAGAAACTGCATGAAGCTTTTTTTATTTATTAAATGACTTGTGCCTCAGAAGACAGTATGCCGACACTCAATGAACGCATAGTAGCATTTGAAGGTGAATAGACACTTAACAATTCTGGAGGTAGTTAATGATATAATAACACTAATACTGACATGGTAAGGCGTTTTAGAATGACCAAAATAACATTTCAGATGTTTTACAATGTCCTCAGCCTGCTGGTTTGTCCATTCACACACATTTTTCTCTTCACATGATGTCTTATAACAAAATCACATCACCTTTTTTTAATGAATAAACTGGAATTTGTTTAATAAAAGTGTTTCCATTATAGTTTATGCGCATCTTTTGCGCATCGTTTTTAATGCGCATTTTTAAAACTGATGCGGATCCTGATGTTTCCATCAACCGCTTTTTTATTTTTATTTTGCACATATCCAAAAAGCGCATAAAAATAGGTGGATGGAAACATAGCTTGTGATGATTTTATGAAATCCATGACAATCATGTTTACGACAGGTTTATTACAAGTTAAGTTACGATGTATTTGTTTTATGTTAAATTGTCATAACAAGGACATCTCAAACAATGACAACTTTGCATTTAAAACGGGATAACAGAGTGAATGACACCTAATGACATTTGTCATATGCATACATACAATCTCATTCATGCCAAATGTCATGTCATGATTATTAGGGTTTCATGACAATCTTATGAACACCCCTTCAAGTAAAGTGTTACCCAGGGGATTGAGCCACTCCATTACCTCAATCCCTTTTCCCTGAAACCTGTCTTGCTCCCTTGTAGTTTTTGTCTTGTTAAAACACAAATCTTAGGGGCATTTCCTCTAATAATTCCACAATCTCATAATCTCTGATCTATGATAAGTGGTAAATAGTAAATAGGTACAATGCCACAGTATGAGAATCATCCCTATCCTGTGATTTTTGCACTACAATGCTTCACAATCTTCACGGTGAACTAAGGCCTTCAATACCCAGTGGCGTAGCGCAAAATGCGGATAGATTTGTCGCTAGGGGGCTCTGAAAAGTCGCTAAATCTAGTGACAAAGTCGCTAAGTTGGCAACATTGGCGGCAAGCAATCAGAATGAAGTAGTCCACTGCTTGAGAGGAGTTTAGAGAACACAGACCTGTGAACTTTGGTTCCGACCACAGTTGTTCCCTAGACTTTGATTATTGCGGTTGCCGGATTTTCAATTATTGAAAATCGCGACGACGCGGGGCCCCCTAATCACGCGGGGGCCCCCCCGCGGTGCTTGCCCTGCGGGCCCGTCCGCTACGCCACTGTCAATACCTATACCTAGGGGTCATTTGACACTGTTGATGACCACTAGATCTGAAAAGCAAAAATAGACTCTCATAAGTCCACATTTGTCTTTAGGCCGTTAAATTTTGGCAGGCTTCTTGCTGAACTTCCATCAAATTTCTTTAGAGTATGTATGCTGATTTGGTGCTGAAGAAACGGTTTTTATAAATCCTTACACTGCCTTTACACTGCACACGACATTTGGACACGACTTTTGGAATACGCCCCCTTGTGGCAGTCGCACAGAATATTCAGTTTTGTCGTGCACTATGGGAAGCTTTTCGTGGATTCTTGCGGTGGGGTCCGAAATTAAGGAGTGCAAAAGCAAGAGCCTTCATTCTTTGTGTGTTCACCAAGGTTGAATGAATGAATACTAGTAACTCATCAAAGACTGCTAAATATTTTGTACGGAATGTGGAGACAAGATTAAAAATAGTATTATTTTTTATTACTCATTTATGAATAGAAATGCTTTTTAATATAGACTTTTTCGGACAAAAAAAAAAAAAAAAAAAACTTCTATTTCTCATCTTATGCGCATGGACAGCAATGGAATACATCACATCTGGTCGGCCGGTTGCATATGTCTAGTTGCAGAAGTTCAAATATTTTAATGGATCCGCAGCTCAAATCAGATCCGAATTTTTCCACGCGGCTCAGAGACTTGGTTCTCCATTGGAAATGAATGACTTTTGGTCTGTCACTTGTCGTTTGTCAAGGCGGCTTTACATTGTTTACACTTTGAATAAAAAGCTGGGTTCCACACAATTTTTTCATGCTGATCCAACACACATTGATTTAATAATCCAAATGTTTTTACAAATTTAAGTTTATTAAACATTAAGTTGTTTCCAAAAAAACTCCAGAATTGTCATGTTACAACTAATTTTAAGTAGTTTAAACAAGCTGCAAAAACAATTATTTGAGTATGTTCTTGCTGTGGACTTTTACTAAAATCAAACTTTTATACTGAAGACAACTGATTTTCTGTAATAACCTATACATTTTTAATCAGTTAAGCCATGCCCTCCTACATTCAGTACACAAGCAAAGCCCATCCTCAGCAGTTTGCGCTGATATTCATCTTTT